TACAGGTGGTCGAGGCTCTCCAATACATTGAGGAGATGCCATATATCACGCATGCCAGTCGTCTGGCGACMACAATGTCGATCAATCGCAAAAAGCCATTAGCGGTGCGCATCGCGAGCGTCTACTGCAACAACTCAACAAGATCCTGCCCAAGCTTGAGGAGATGGCCAACTCGCTGTCAGACCACGGCGCCCCTCTCTCAGACTCATACTTCCACGACTACAACAACAAGTTGCCCGCACGCAGTAGCAGCCCGACGCCACTCTCTCCTCCAGTCGAGGAGCCAATCGATCTTCAACCAGGCCAGTGGCGATGTCTCAGATGTACCTATATCAATGATAACAATCCAGCCACATGTCTGATGTGCGAGAATCCACACACTGTAGTGGACGAGGATTCAGCCAATGGCAACTGGTCGATCTCTGGCAAGAAGACCAACAAGAAGCTCAACATTCAGACTAGTTATCAAGCGACACCTCAACATCAACATCATCAACAACAACAGAAACAGAATGTTGCGGCTCAGGTCCATGCCTCGGTCCCGGCCCCAGCCTCAGCCTCAACTTCAGCCTCAGCCATATCTTCAACAACACCTACAGATCACTCCAGCGCAGAAGAACCAAAGTACCCTACTTCGTCATCATCATCACCATCATCGTTATCATCATCAACATCTCCAGCAACACGATCACCAACCCTAGTATCAGCCAACAATAACAATGTTGGCGCGTCAACAACCATTCAATATTCATCGGCACAGGTACCAGTTATTCCAGTCACACCAGCAGGTCATTCAACACCATCATCTTCATCTCCACCATTTTCCTCACAGACCGCCATTGCTAACGTCAACAACAATCACATGGCATTCTCACAAATACTACTTTCCAACAATTCATCCTCATCAACATCATCAACAGACGATGTATACTATGAAGATGAGTATCCATCACTTAACAACAAGGCCAAGACACCAACCAAATCAACTCCAAAATCCAAGCAACATCAAACAACTGTACCAACAACACCAACAACGCCAAGGTCTAAAGTCCAAAATCAACAACAACATCAACAACAACATCACCAACAACAACAACAGCAGGAATATGTAGAATCATTATTTAGTGATCAATCATTCAGTTTGGACAGCATCGGGACATCGTCGTCATCTTCACAATCATCACAATATTATTATAATCCACTTGGATTATCCAACAACAGTCATCCAAGTGCATTCGATTGGTCATCAATTATTGGATTGAACAATATCATCAACAGCAACAATAGTAACAACAACACAGATAACTCAACATCACAAGCAAACTCAACAATGTCATTGTTTGCACAAACTCAACAACAACAGAAAACTGAGAACATACTTTACCGCCAACCTGGTTCTGAATATTCCCATTCAATCTACACATCACAATATCTCAATCATCAACAACTCCAACAACAACAACTACAACAACTACAACATCAACAACATCAATCAGCAACATCAACAACACAACACTCATCATTTTCCAATAACTACTATGGCAATGGCAATGGAACTGGCAATGGAGTTGGTTCATCATCCATCTGGGAGCAACAACAACCACGCCAATCACAGTCACAGTCACATCATTTCCAACAACAACAACAACAACCTACAACGACTCAACTTCAACATCATCAACAACAACAACAACATTATCATAACAAACAACAGATTGATCAGTTTGAGAAGGATAAGCAGAGGGCAAGAGAGGCCGTGATTGAGAAGTATAGGAACTCACCGCAGCATCAGCAGCAGCAGCAACCTCAGCGTCCGTGTTGTTATTGTGGCGACGAGTCGATATTGGAGTGCTACCACTGTGCAAAGACAGGCTACGCCACTTACTTTTGCACGACTGAACATCAGTCCCTAATGTGGAAAGAGCATCTAAGAGTTCATCAACTGACCAGTAGTGGACAACAACATCATCATAATAAACAGCATTCATAATCTTGGCACTCTACTTACTTGGGTCATTCGAACTTGGTTGACTGTGATTGATTGTAAATTGGTGGCAGGTCCATCAATCAATCCATTCACTCTTCATTCAATCTTTCAATCATGATGCTGTTACCAAAGGACACTCACTCACACAAACAACTTCTCTCTCAGTTGATCGCAATCAACCCCTTCTTTCTCATTCATTGTTGTTTGTGGTGTGTGTTTGTGTGTATCTGTCAATCAACTTTAAACACAAAGAGAGAGATAGACAGATATACACACACACACACACACACACACAGAGATGGCAACGATGTTGTGGACGAGGGGTGTGTGTTGTGCTGCTGGGAAGTGACTTTGTTGTTGTTGTTGTTGCTGTTGCTTTAAAGTAGTGAGGCAGATGACACTCTCTCACTCACTCATTCATCCATCATCCAAGATAACACACAAACATAACTTAACAACAACAACAACATCAACAACTACCATCAACGATCAATCACTATTTATTACACACTAAAACGAAACGACATACTCCTGCTTAGTCCAGTCCTCTTAGTTCATTCATTCATTCATTAACACCTACACATAATCACTATCCCATCCCATCCATACATCCCACCTTGACTGGATCCAGTCACTGGCTAGCCATCCATCCATACAGGCCATTCAACCAAATATCCCTACCCCTACTACTACCACCTACCATCATCAACGTACACATCACAACACAATCTTTATTGTTATAATCTTAGTTTATAATATTACTACATGGTCTAGAATATAGTTTAGTTAGTTTAGTAAAATAGATAGTATAGATATATAAAGTATCCACTGCATGGATATCAATAACAACATGGATGTATCAACAATGTTGCATCAACAACAGCAACAACTCTATCAAAATATGCTCTTTTCCAACTCGGCTGGAAGTAAACATTCATCGCCAACCTCATCTTCTGACAATGTTGGCACACTCTATGACCTGTCCCGGCAATCACTTCGTCTACTCGATCAAATTGTCAATGTAAGTTACCATGACCATGGCCAAGTCCAAAGACTAACTCATCCATTCAATCAATCACCATAGATGTTAACAGCCAATGATTCAAAGTTCAATATAAAGTCACAGATAAAGGTTGCTCATTCTATAATATACTCATTCGTGGAGTCGATTGAAAAGGCGAACAATGTAAACAATCAAAAGTCAATGGTACCTGATTATGGATCGGTGGTCAGTCCGCCCAGACCTTCAATCAACATGTCCAACCTCCAACATTTCATTGCCAATGGTGGCGCGCAACAATCAACATCGCCACCCATCACTGCAAGCTCACCACGCGTATCATTGTCCCCTCCACATTATAACAACACTCATCAAGATGGTAGCAACACCGCCAGACAACATTACAATCAATATCAATATCATCAGCAACAGCAGCTACAGCAACAACATCAGAAGCAACATAAGTCACAGAGTTTAAAGTCGCCCAAGACGCGAGTGAAGCCCGAGCCCTATCCAACCACCTCGCCCACGATCATTGCACAGAAGGCACAAATGCTATCACTGTCCTCTCCTCTGTTACAGCCTAGCATGCATGTCCATTCGACGCCAACCACTCCACAATTCTCAAACAAGTACCTCTCTGTAATCACACCTCCATACTTCCTGTTAGACGACCAGACTCTAAGCAGGGCAGCGCCACCACTCAAGCTCCAGCAACAACAACAACAACAACAACAGCAGCATCAACAACAACAATATTCCAACCCATCGACACCAAAGTACCATCCAACCAACTTGGTCCTATCACCATTGTCCAACAGCAGCTCGCGAAGCCCGAATAGCTCATGCGACATATTCTCTCCACGCACACCATTGATGCCATCACTGGTCCTTGTCAATCCTTTCAAGATTGATTGGAGGCTTACCAATCTTGCGGACTTCTCCATCTTGTCAGAGATTGGCGCAGGATCATTTGGCACCGTACGCCTCTGCAAACACAATGACTCTGGAATCTATTTCTGTCTAAAGATGCTCAACAGACAACGCATCACAAGTACCAAGCAGATTGAACACATCCTCAATGAGAAGAATATCATGCTGTCCATCAACAATCCATTCATTGTCAAGCTATTTGCAACTTACAAGACGAGTCAATACCTTTACTTTATGATGGAGTATGTTGGCAAAGGTGAACTATTCAACTATATACGCATGGAGTCACAGTTTAAGGAGAGGACTGCCAAGGCAATCATTGGCGAGATCATCCTGGCTGTTGAATATCTACATCAGAACAATATAATATATAGAGACCTAAAGGTATGTGATGATATATTGATTAGATGGTCATGCTCCACTCATACTAACTGAATGATCAATCTCTAGCCCGAGAATATATTGATCGACAACTACGGACATATTAAGTTGGCCGACTTTGGATTCGCCAAGAAGATCGAGGAGAAGACAATGAGCATGTGTGGAACGATTGACTACATGGCACCAGAGGTTATGCTTGGTAATGGACATGGAAAGGCCGTAGATTGGTGGGCCGTTGGCATTGTCCTGTATGAATTGATCACAGGCTTTCCTCCATTCTCATTGGACCCCGACAATAACTCTCAGAATAATCTTGGCTCATTCTTGGACTCGGTCAGATCCAACCAACCAATCATCGAGTTCCCCAACACATTCCCCCGAGCATGCAAGGACCTCGTCAGCAAGCTGTTGGACTTCAATCCCAAACAACGCATAGGCTCTACAAACGACGCAATAGAGATCAAGAGCCACCCATGGTTCTCCGATGTCAACTGGAACACACTGGGGAGACGTGAGGGCAATGGACCCTTCTTCCACCTGGCCAGCTTCACCAACCATGCCTCCAACTCGGTCGAGCAGTCACACTTCTCCAGTGACACCGACCTCTCATCATCTGGCATGGACGACCTTACGCTTTCAGACTCGTTTGATGGCTTTGAAGGACATATCTAAGCCCTCCCTTCCTTCATTCAATCATCAACGCTGTCAATAAAACATATTTAGATTTAAAGTCTTTACTTGTCCCTCAAAGGGTAAGGGCAAGGGCAAGGATTGGTAAGGTTAAGGGTCGTTCTTAGTTTATTATAATATAGTATTGTTGTCTTGACATTGTTATTACTGTTGTTGCTTGGCCAAGCTTTCATCGATTGACTTGATAACAGTGATTGCGGCATCAGTGACCTTGGTGCCTGGACCAAAGATGGCAACAACGCCGGCCTTGTACAGGAAGTCGTAGTCCTGGAAGGGGATGACACCACCGCACACAACAGAGATATGGGAGGCGTTCATCTTCTTGAGCTCGCCGACCAACTCTGGCACCAGTGTCTTGTGTCCTGCAGCCTGCGAACTGATTCCAACGACGTGCACATCAGCATCGATGGCCTGACGTGCGACCTCGCTGGCGGTGGAGAACAAAGGACCGACATCACAGTCGAATCCCAGATCAGAGAAGCCCGAGGCAATAACCTTGGCGCCACGGTCGTGGCCGTCCTGGCCCATCTTGGCCACCAGGATTCTGGGTGGACGTCCGTGCTTCTCGTTGAAGCGCTTGACCTCTGCCAGCACATTGTCAATCTCGTTGACCTTGCCGTAGTTGGTCTTGTAGGCACCGCTGGCCAGCGAGTGGGTGGGCTTGTAGCGGCCATAGACCAGCTCGAGGGCGTCACTGATCTCTCCGACTGTGCATCTCAGACGTGCGGCCTTGATGGCCAGATCGAGGAGGTTGCCAGTCTTGTTCTTGGCGGCATCTGTGAGATCGGCCAGAGCTTGCTTGGCGGCAGCACTGTCACGTGTGGCCTTGATCTTCTCGAGTCTGTCGATCTGTGACTGTCTGACAGTCTTGTTATCGATGGCCAAAATATCGATTGGGTCCTCATTCTTTAGTCTGTACTTGTTGACTCCGACGATTGTCTCCTTGCCCGAGTCGATACGAGCCTGGCGACCAGCAGCCGACTCTTCGATTCTACGCTTGGGCATACCCTCAGCCACGGCCTTGGACATACCGCCCATCGCTTCGACTTCGTCCACGATCTGCTGGGCACGGGCTTCAAGCTCGTTGGTCAGCGCCTCCATGGCGTATGAGCCTCCCCATGGGTCAATGATGTTGGGGATACCAGTCTCCTCTTGCAGGATGAGCTGTGTGTTTCTGGCCACTCTAGCACTGAACTCTGTTGGCAGACCGATAGCCTCATCGAGGGCATTGGTGTGCAGACTTTGTGTGCCACCGAGCACGGCAGCCATGGCCTCGACAGTGGTTCTCACGACGTTGTTGTATGGATCCTGCTCGGTCAGAGACCAACCAGAGGTCTGGCAATGAGTGCGCAGCATCAAGGACTTCTCGTCCTTTGGTGCAAACTTGGCCTTGACCAACTTGGACCAGAGACGACGGGCCGCTCTAAGCTTGGCGATCTCCATGTAGAAGTTCATGCCAATGCCAAAGAAGAAGGAGAAACGTGGTGCAATCTCATCGACAGTCACGCCACTCTGCACTCCACAACGCACGTACTCAAGGCCGTCGGCCAGGGTGAAGCCCAGCTCGAGCGAAGTGTCGGCGCCAGCCTCTTGCATGTGATAGCCAGAGATGGAGATTGAGTTGTACTTTGGCATGTTTCTCGAGGTGTAGGCCATAATGTCCGAGACGATGCGCATCGACGCCTCAGGTCCGTAGATGAATGTGTTCCTCACCATGAACTCCTTGAGAATGTCGTTCTGGATGGTGCCACTGAGCTGTGCCTGCAGAGCGCCCTGCTCCTCACCAGCAACGACGTACATTGCCAGCACTGGCAGCACGGCGCCGTTCATGGTCATGGACACAGAGACGTCCTTCAGGGGGATGCTGTCGAACAGGATCTTCATGTCCTCGACAGAGTCGATGGCTACACCGGCCATACCCACATCACCGACGACACGAGGGTGATCCGAGTCGTAGCCTCTGTGCGTGGCCAGATCAAAGGCCACTGAAAGACCCTTCTGTCCAGCCGCCATGTTCTTCTTGTAGAACTTGTTCGACTCCTCAGCCGTCGAGAAACCAGCATACTGTCTAATGGTCCAAGGACGATTGGCATACATTGTCGCATAAGGTCCACGAGTGAATGGGAACTTGCCTGGTATCTCATCAGCCACTCCCTTTGCATCAGCTTGCATATATAATGGTTTGATCTCGATACCCTATTCATACATGCATTTGATCGGATCCGTGTCAGTGATTGATAGTATGTTGATTGATTGATTGATGATATCATACCTCTGGTGACAAGAATGTAAGTTTACCAGCAGGGTCATCATGCTTGATCTCCTTCTTTGACAACTTGACCCAATCCTCAGGGAGTGGAACCTTTGTGCATAGTGGCTTACTAGAAGTCAAGTAACTTCTATTACCATGCAAGTGAAGTGATCGCTATAGTATGTCAAAGTGTTTTGTTATTAAGTCTGTTCATTCATTCATTGAAATTGAAGTTGAAGTTAGCATCAATCAACACTAACCTTTAACAACGATCGAGTTGTGTTGCCAATGAGACTGTTCATTGTACCTGGTATGTAGTATGATGTATACTTATAACTAGTAAGTAGTACAAGTCAAGGAAGTAATGAATGATGATCAAAGAGGTGAAGGGTGTTTGACGATCGAGAACACAAACACCAAAGTTCCCGAATGGAAATTTCGAAAAGTCCCAAATATCTCAACAAGTTAACTTCATTCTTCCATTCACCCAAACAAACATATTACTTGTAGATAGAGATAGAGATAATATATCATCAATGTTTATTGTGTTAATGCACCGTATAGAGCTGTTTGTTGACTGACTCCTCCTCCCATCTTGTAACCATCACGTGCACAAGAGGCTGACAGTTGAATTGGTGATATAGATGTCTTTGTAACACTCTGCTGCGGTGTTGGTGGAGGCGGTGGTATGTTCATGGCCGACAATCCAATTCTAACTGGCTTTGTTGGTGTGCATACTGGTGTTGCTGATGTCGGAGTCGCTGGAGTTGACGCCGTAGTCGCCGACAATGTCTTGGTGGCAGCAGCTGGAGATGCTGGAGTTGTTGACGAAGACGCTGCCGCTGCAAATGGTGCCAATGTCCCGCTTGATGGTGATGGTGAAGAACAAGATGAAGAGGATGACGATGAACTGCTGCTGAACGAAGACGCGATGGATAGTGGATGCACGTTGGAATCGCTGGATGTCTCAGTCGCGGAAGCCGAGGCAGACGAGGCAACATACTGCAAAGAGAAGGATGACGACGTTGGCGAGAGAAGTGTGAAGCATGACTTGGCGCCCAGCTCTTGGTGTAGCAGCTGCTCTCTGTCATCGTTGTAGCAGTCGGACAACATACAGCTGGATGACGAGGCCATGAAGCGCGGACTATATGGCATCGATGCGATCTCTGTCTGGCTGATGTTCATCGACGTGATGTACTGGTTGCGACGAATGTACAGTATGATCCTGTGGACAATGTCGCGATCTATTTGGTTGTTGGACACGTCCACGTTGATCAGGAACTCATTGAGCGTCAGCAGCTTGAGCACGTGCGCGCCACCCTTGACGCCGAGCTGGTTGTCGCGCAGGTTCAGCACCTCGAGCGATGTGTTGAGCTTGACGTGCTCTACCAGGTATAGTGCACCCTTCTCTGGGATGGCGTTGCTGCGCACGGACAGCTCCTGCAGCGCGCGGTTCCACTTGAGGCACTTGGCCAGCGCCTTGAGTCCCTTGTGTCCGATTGCGTTGTAGCCAATGTGTAACAGACGGAGAGTGCTGTTGCGCTTCAACGCCTTGGCCAGCGCCGTGCAGCCATCCTTGCCAATGCCATTCGTGTTCAAGTAGAGCTGCTTCAGAGTCACATTGCTTGCCAGCGCATCGGCCAGATGCTGGGCGCCACGGTCTTGGAGACAAGTGTCATTGAGCGACAACGACTCGAGGGTTATGCGATTGTTGCCAAGACCCGCGACAAAGTCCAGGATGCCACTGTGGCCAAGCTTGGTGTGTGACAGGTCCAGGACTTTGAGACTATGGTTGAAGTTCAAGGACTTGGCCATCACTTTGCCGATCAGGTTGGATGCCTTGGTGTTGGCGAGGTTGAGACTGGTCAGCGCGCTGTTGTTAATCAATGCCTCGCCAATGCTCGTGCTCTTCTCAAAAAAGTCGTTGTTGCTGACATTCAGGTGCTCGATCGATTGGTTCACGGCCATGAACTTGGCCAAGTCCTCGGCATTGCGCTCATTCAACTGGCATCCGCTCAGGTCCAGTGTAGCTAACTCTTGGTTGCGCGCCAGTATGTCGAGGAATGCGCCAAATCCCACGGCGCCAAACTTGACGCCACTGATGTCCAGGTGCTCCAATATTATCGGTCGCGAGCGAGGTGATACTGTGATAGTTGGATCATGATTGGCGCCATTTCCTGATGAGCCCTTGGAGAATATTGTGATCAACTTGGTCAGCTCGTCGTCCTCGCTCAGACCACCCTTGCTCGCTTCCTCCATAATGTCGAGCTCCCTGTAGCGTAGCGCCAGTCCTTGTATGATGCACTCGCCGTACGACTCGGCGTCGCGCGACTTTGCCATGCGGCACTGATGCAGCAGAATTGATTCGATCATTTTGGACTGCGTGAGCATCCGGAGCAGCGCCCCGCCATCACTTTCGGCAATGGCCATGTTGGAGAGATCGAGTGATCGCAGACTTGGATGATCGGTTATGGCCTGCGGCAGACCTGTCAGTGGATGCTTGGCGCTGTTGTAACCAAAGTTGAGAGTCTGGATGGTTTTGGACTTGGACAGGTAGTTGCACAGCAACTTGGACACATCGCCCGAGCATTGGTACTCGTTGTATGATAGGTCGAGATATGTGATGGTCTGATTGGCCTGTAGTGCGTCCAATATCGAGTTATTCTCGTCCAAGTCAAGGCAGTTGTGGCTGAGGTTCAAGTGGGTGATGCTGCGATTGGAGCGAATGACATCGGATATGATTGGTGCCAGGCCTTCACTGCCCAGTCCATTGTGATTGAGGTCGAGTTGTGTGATTGTCTGGCCGACGGACTTCATCGCGAAGCCAAAAGATATCCAAGCTTCCAGATCTTTGATTGATTTGTTATAACTTAGATTGAGGCTTAATATTGAATGTGGTTGTTTGAGTGCCTCGGACACTGACACCAGTTCACCTGGTGTTGCCAGTCTGATCGTCAGTGTGTTCAAACATAAGTACTTGGCACAAAAGTCCTTGTAGAACTGTGCTGAGCGTCTTGATGGTGATAAGGACATGATTTAAAGATTATTGATTGAGTGATCCTGGATTGAGTCTAGGTTGGAACTGGCGATTTCTGATATTATTGGGATAATTAAAGATTGATAAACTATGTTGTTATGGGTCGAATTTAGAGTTAAGGAGATTGATTGAGTGATTGAGAGATTGAATGATTGAGTGATGGTGAGACAACTAATGGGTCGACCTATTATGTTTGCTTTAGATCAAGGTAGTGATTAATTGGAAGTGAGTGAGTGGGGGGGGCTTGTCTTGATCGGAGATCGTCTGGATTGGCTTGGAATTAATTAAGTGTTTATTTTAGTGTTGGTGAGTGAGTGGATATCCTATGTGGAACATCAATCAATCACAACCGCGGATGAAACATCTGCCATGAATGGTCAGTCTACATCTCACTTTGATGATCCGTTATGTTGTGTGAGCGTTGGAATATTTAAATATTTACATACCTAACGATCAGACGGTTATAAAGACAGTGTCAATGTCATATGATAAGTGGACCAATGTATGTGTGTGAGTGTGTGTGATAGACTTGACTGGACTGGACTGAACTTGATTAATAGATTGATGTATGAATGAATAAATGATATACTAATAATAGTTGATTGAAGTGATGTATATCTTTCTGTGTATGGATGTTTGAATAATGGTTGGATAAGTTACAAATTACTAATATCCCTTCAATTCAATTATTCGCTCGAGCGATGATTGTTGATTGTTGATGATGGTATGATGGTTGATTGATGATGAGTTTGAGGTTGAGGTATGTATATTTATAAATATGAATATGTGATATAAATATATAATATTGCCGGTTGCACCGCAGAGGTGGCACTTTGTTGATTGCTCCCTTTAATTGATGTTGTGGTTGTTGGTTGTTGTGGAGATGTGTGGACTGGACAGGACTGTGATTGATTGATTGATTGATTGATTGAAATATCTTGTTGTGATTGATTGATTGATTATATGTTATAACATAATTGATTAAGATTGAGGGAAGTCATTAACAATGATCACATCACGTGTGAGTATTAGATTGATTACCCTCAAGATCCAGTCATTGTCACAAATTGATTGATGGATGGGGATGGAAGTGGCTTGCCAGTCACACACTCACACACACTCATACATATATACTTCCATCCTTGACCGACTGGCCATCAACACTTCCCCTCCAATCAATGTCAACAATTACATGATGTGTTAGGAATTCGGTTAAATAATTCTGTACACATAATTCCCTTCCCTCACCACCTTTATTATGGATGGAAGGATGCGATTGATCAATTCACCTTTGGAAAACCTGCGTATTATGGATATATTCAATCAATATGTACTATAACACATAGATGGATACCTCTATCCAATCACTTGATCACTCAAGGCCACACATACTTTAAACACACCACTCTGCTGACTCCACCATCAAAATTGATCAATTTGTGGTAGGGGTTGTTGTTGGGGCAGAACACTCACACTCACATTCATTGCTTTACTAATCAAACAATAGTTCCTTCCTTTGTTAGTACCCGACTCGACCATACCAGGTGTATTTACAATTGATCATTTGACCAAGTATAGTATCGGTTATATTTATCTCTATTCAAATAATGGATGACCTCTAATGGATTATTCAATTAGTATCATTGACAATATAATGACCCGGGTCGATTTATTCACATCGCCTAAGAACCCATTGAACGATCAAACTATCATCAACTTAATCCATTATCAATTTGATGATGTAATAATAAGGATGRAAACAAGATTAGTCTTTGCAAATGATCATCATTTACTTACTTTCAAGTATCTATGATATTAATATTTTGGGAATAATAATAATATTGGTTCTTACTCAATCAATCAATCATTCAAACATACCTTCCTCTCTGACCCCAATGAATGGAGCGGTTGGTTGGGTCCAACCATCTTTGAAAGTGAACAGGCACTATGATGGTGAAAATGGGGTTGTTGTGGGTGATTGTTTGAATCGATGCTACACTGTGCAGGGCTGTTTCAGATGATCACATGATGATAAAGAGAGAGTGACTGCGACAATCTTAAGAGACTCCCAAATGGTTGATGGTTTTGTTGTAGTTGTTGGTGTTCCAAACCTCCAAAGCAATGATGATGATTGTTTGAATCAATCATGCATTCATTCATTCTCAATCATTCAATCAATCACATGACTAAACATTATCAAAGAGAATGAACAAGTATCATCAAGTTAGAGTCATTGGAGTCGGCAGCGAAGCCAAGGCAATACTAGTCAGGAAACACGATAGTGATGGACTCTATGTAATCAAACAGAGAATATACACCAACTTGGATCAAGCCAATGAAGGTCTCAATGAGGTAGGTAATCCAAAGATGGTCCATGTTTGATCGAAATACTAACTGATGGACCATCAATAGGCAATGTCAATGGCAAAGATACAACATGGAAACATTGTAAAGATTGAGGAGGTGTTCATGGAGAAGAATGGAACACAGAATAGTTTGTGTATAGTGATGGAGTATTGTGATGGTGGCGATTTGATGGAGTTCATGATCAATATGATATTGATTGAAAGTGGAATGGGTGAAGGCAGCTCAGTGCCATCAAGTCCACCACAGACTGAGAGACAATCAGTTAGTTACAGTCCAATGTCCACATTGTTATCAGTTGGTGGTGGTAGTGGACTTGATGGATCATCGTCAGACGACACGACATATTCATACAAGACTGCCACGACCACGACCACAACATCGACCTCAACATCATCAGCATCGATGATGTCGGCATACACTTCGCCGCCACCACTGGAGATCACATGTGTGTCTGCGCCACATAATCACACAGGGGCACTAGCACCAATGATCAAGACATCAAAGACGACAGAAAGACCTCCACACTGCATCGCAGCATGGCAACAGACCTGCACATAAGCAACACAGGAAGCAATTATCATTCGATTCACAAGTGCTCCAACAACATGTACAACAACAACAACAACAATATCAACTTGAGGCGATGGCCATGGGGATGGCACAACAACCAAGCAGCTCACTATCCGTCCACAATCACAACAACAACAACAAGGCCAATCGAACAAGTTGGTTCAGGCACTCCAAGAAAGTGCGTGCGCCGCCCAAGCCTCTGACCAAAGAGTCATCATCACATTCAATGATTGATCAACTCAAGTCAGCGCCTGGCACTCCCTCCAAACTCGACATGGATCACACTCTTCGCGTATTGATCCCATCAAATGTATGTTTGGTCCGACCTCCATATCAATCAATCAATTAATCATACTCACTCATTCATTCGATCATTCAATCAATCATAGTTATTGTATAAATGGATATATCAGTTATGTTTGGCCGTCAGTTCGATACACAACTCTCACTTCATCCACAGGGATCTCAAGTCTGAGAACATATTCCTCTCGGATTATGAGATCAAGATTGGTGACTTTGGACTGGCCACCAGATTCGACAACAACATCAAAGGCATCGCTGGAACATATTATTATTCATCTCCAGAGGTCCTTAATAATCAGCCATACTGCCGACCCGCCGATATATTCTCGTTGGGATGTATATTATATGAGATGACAACCTTCCATTTGCTACCTCTCACCAAACGATGTATAGCTGAAGAGTTGATCGCTGGAACATTCGACTCCAATGTGTTCAAAAGAGAATTCCCCAATGTAAGTATGACTGCCACTCAGTCGACAACCTGGCGTCACTAAACCATGTCAACTCACATCAATCATACTTAGGAACATCAAGAACTTGCAGACTTGGTATTGAGGATGCTGGATATGAACCCGGATGCTAGACCATCGATAGATTTGATATTACAGAATAAGTTGTTTGATCAATTTAAGAAACAGTATATACCACAAGATAGTGCGATATTGTTGGATACTTCACCAGCATCTGGTGTGGTGTCAACATATTCAGTGTCGCCACAAGGTGGCTTCAGGAAACAGTTGGACAAGAGTGAACTGTCTGATGCAGCCGCAATATTAGCAGAGGCCTATAGTCAAGACCCTAGATTCTCATGGATAAAGAGGAAGAAGTCAAATCAAGATAATGCTGGAGTTGGAGGTGGAGGAGGATCACTCAATCAATCAGATGAAGATATAATCACATTGGACTTTATGGATCAAGACATCACAGATGACAATGACAACGATGTCGTTGATCGTGGATACGAGATCAGGAAGCTATTCTTTGAGTCAGCTCTTAGAATAATGTATAGCGAGCGATTCTTACTTTGGGTATGTATAATTGATTGATTTATTGATTGGAATAGTTCCGCTCACTCACTCAATCAAACATTTGATCAATCAATCAAATATAGGGATACTACAACTCGGATAATATATTACATGGAGTAGCATGTTGGATATCACCAGACAGTAAGAAGCGTGTACCTTATGGAACTGTAAGTGTTTGAGCATGGTGTACACAAACCTCGAGTCATACCCTAACACTTTCCCTTTCCCAAAGATGATCGTCAATGTCCTGTCACTATTACCAAAGTTGGGATTGAAGAACTCAAAGAGGATTAAGGACTTGATGGATGCGATTGATCGAGCGATGGAGAAGGTACATGGTGATGGCAATCAATATCATTTGGCTTATTGTGGCGTGAGGAAGGAGTCGCGATCCAAAGGAATAGGTCGATATATGTTGGCGCCAGTATTGGAATGGTGTGACTTTTCCAATCGCAGTTGCAAGGCCATCGTATTGAAACAACGTTCCATTCCTTTCTTTATGAAGCTTGGCTTTGAAATGGTCAAAGAGTTCAAAGGTGGCCATCAGCCAAAAGGCATTGACGTGATCTGGGTGATGGAGCGCAAGTCGCGTCCAAGAGATATCGCCACTCCTTCTTCCGTATCAGCACAACATCTTATCCCTTTGCCATCACCATCTCCTCAACATTAACTAGTGTTGCCAACTCATTAAAACATGGACATGGGCATTTAGCAAATCGACTCGGATGTGTCGGTTTTTTTTTTTCTGAACGAGCTTGATTGTGTGTGGTGTGGACTCGTCTAGACCCGATTGATTGTTTGTGCTCAAACTTCATCACTAATAACAAACTGTAAAATACAGATAATACATACTTATATATACTATATACATTCACACAATGAACAAGTTATTCGTCGCCAGTCTTCCATGGAGCGTCTGCAAAGGTATTAATTAGATTGATAGTTGACGATTGGCCAACAACACATCATCATCATTGCATCGCATTGCATTAATGAGTGAATGCGCCAGCCAGACACTGACTCTCTGGCCTCCTCACATATCGATCTTGGTCTCTTGGTATCTTTGATCTTGTCTTTGGATATGTACAGTCGCCTTGAAGAACCATTTCTCAAAGTTTGGTCCAGTCACTGACGGTATCGTCCTGTTGGACCGTGCCACCAACCGTTCCAAGGGATTCGGTTTCGTCACTTTCGCCAACAACGAGTCCCTCCAAAGAGCCCTGCAAGCCCAACACGAGATCGAGGGAAGAAAGTTGGTCGTCAACATCGCCTACGGTAACTACCTTCAACTCTCCCACCCTCAACTCTATCTCTCACTGCTCACTAGTTTGAGATGATGTATGAGCATGAGACATTTGATTGATCGATGATACTAACTATACAATACAATACAATACTATACTATTAATAAACACAGATAAGCCAAGAGAGAACAACTACGACAACAACCGTAACAACCGTAACAACAACCACGAGGATGACCTCAACTAAACCATTCATTCGATTGTTTTATGACAACACAATGATTTATAAACAACAACATGTTGAAAATGCAAAGACATATACATGCAAACATGTATACATGTAGAGTTATAGAGATACAGATACATATATATATACATATATACAGATAGGATACAAAGACAGAATAGTAGTGATGATTGAACTTCGCAATAACATTCTGTTTACCACAACAACTCACGTGGGTGAGAGGGAATGAGCTGAAGTACGTGAACTTGTGTTTGTTCAACATTATTCAAATTTTTTTCTCAAACCTTCCTCTCACACACACAACTCTTGTTACCTCTCTGTTTCCATTGACTTTGAGCTTGCTTGCTTGCTCCTTACTACCTACCTTGTCAACTCAACTAACTGCTGCTGCTGCTACTACTTCAAGGGTACGTACTTGAAGTCTCAACTCTACACTCTACTCTCTACTATCATCTAAAACAAGACGTCAGTAGTACAAAGAGTCATTCACTCATTCATAAAGTTCAAAACAGTAGGTCAACACACAACAATAGTATTGTAAACATTGTTTATCAATTATAATATTTATATTTTATAACCATTCTTTGACAGCATTATTATCAACATCATAGCTATCGATTGTATATTTTTATATATTTTATCTCTATAATCTATACATATATTACAAGCATCGACATCATCCCTCATCCTTCTCTTCACCTTACTTCATCCATTTGAAAGTTCACGCACAAGGTATGTAACGGTCACTCACACACCAAAAACAAACCCAACCCCTCGCGAACATACCCTCGCGGACATACCCTCGCAGACATACCCTCACAGACATACCCTCGCATTAAATTCAATGACTAACTTGTTCAATATTTCTGTTATTATAGAATGCCAAACACATCGATTGAAGCGCCAGCCAGTGGTGACTCACCTACACAACCTTTGGATGATATTACCAATACATCCGACTTGACAACTTCATCATCTGGCGAACCAAATGGTGTCCGAAAGGTACTCGATCCAGGCACAAACATATATTGTAAATGGAGAGATCAATATCGTAAGTTATCCATATTCCCAAGTTTGATTGAATGAATGAATATTGACATTATTCCAATAATTGATAGACAAGTGTGAAGTGATCGAGAGAAAAGAATCCGAGAGCCAACCTGGAACTTATGATTATTATGTACATTACCATGAGTTCAATCGTAGACTGGATGAATGGGTACACGAGTCCAGGATGGACTTTAGTCGTATAGAGAATGAACCAAAGGCACCGGCAGTGCCACTGGCCGAGATCCAGAGTGGTGATGGTCAGAGCAGAAAGGTGACTCGTCAGATCAAACGCAAGTTTGACGAGATGAACCACATCCAGAAGGGAGTGGACGACGACACCAAGCTGTCGGCAATCGAGAAGGAGCACGAGGAGATCACCAAAGTCAAGAACATCAATGTGATCGAGTTGGGCCGCTACGAGATCGACACCTGGTACTTTGCGCCCTACCCTGAGGAGTTTGCCAAATGCGAGAAGTTGTTCCTCTGCGAGTTCTGTCTCAAGTACATGAAGAAGAAGAAGACATTGAACCGTCACAAGGTAAGTTAGTTGGCAACCATGTGATCAATCAATCATATGATCACTCACTCACTTCCAATCAATCAATCAAATGAATGAACAGTTGAAGTGTGACCTGCGCCACCCACCAGGAAACGAGATATATAGAAGTGGAAACATATCCATGTTTGAGGTGGACGGCAAGAAGAACAAGATATATTGTCAGAACCTTTGTTTGTTGGCAAAGTTGTTCTTGGACCACAAGACACTTTACTATGACGTCGAACCATTCCTCTTCTACATCATGACCGAGTGTGACCAGCGCGGTTGCCACATGGTTGGCTACTTCTCCAAGGAGAAGGACTCACCCGACGGTTACAACCTCGCCTGTATTCTAACTCTGCCACCTTATCAACGTAAAGGTTTCGGCAAACTCTTGATCTCATTCTGTAAGTACAAAGTATACTTTGATTGATTGATTGATTGGCACTAACATTGATGATCATCAATTAGCATACGAACTCTCAAAGAAAGAAAATAAGGTTGGCACGCCAGAGAAGCCATTGTCTGATCTTGGACTGCTGAGCTTCCGTTCATATTGGACACAAGTGCTCCTGGAGATACTGAGGAAGCACAAGGGCAACCTCTCCATCCTAGATATATCAAACATGACCTCCATCAGGGTATGTACAAGCACAACCTATCGCTCATCAAACATCCAGTCTAACATGTCGCACGCATTCATACACAGACTGAAGACATCATCAGTACACTGCAATCATTGAACCTTATTAGATATTGGAAGGGACAACATATTATATCGGTCACACCCAAGGCCATCGAAGAGCATCTGAAAGTATACGCCAAACAAACGACAAGAATCGAACCAAAGTGCATCCATTGGGCACCAATGAACCCACCTGCCACCAAGAAGAGATAGATATACTGTTTGGCGGGACATATGCGCGCCACACACTATCCTCCCTCCCTCCTCCTCCCCTCCTTCTCCATCTTCATCTCAACTCCATCTCCAACAACGCAGCCAACAACGACCAACTCTACCCCTGTATACATCTTTCATTTCCCAATACCAAACACCGTCTGCGATTCATTAATTGACTGATTGATTGATTGATTAAGATGAAGTAATAAACTTTAAGAATATTCTTTATAATATTTATAATATACAATGGTCACCAGGAATGACCATAAACTTAGGAATGTGAGCACTGCGAAAGTCTTGATCAATATTATTCCAAGTCTATTATTATTATTATTATTATTATTATTTGATTGATTAATGGATACTTGTTCTGGATTATCAATATTATTATAACATGTTATTGTCGAGTTATTATTATTAATACTATCACAATATTGTTGAATTTGTATTTCTTTTTTTTTTTTATAATATTGATTTTTATATATTTCTTTCCATGTTATATTATTTATGTTATAAGTAATTTCTGGTTGATAATAAATAGTAGGAGTATCTATTTTATCATAAATTATTGATTTAATTATATTACAACTTTTTACTAAACATTTAGTTATTACTATATCATGTTGCTGTTGTTGTAGATGTTGAATAATTATTCCAGAGATTAATCCTCCAATTAATAATAATGTAATTATAGCCAAACTAATAATAATTGTTATACCTCTTTGTTCCATATCTCTATAAACCTATACTCTTTTAATCAATTAATCAATTAACAAACAAGAGACATGAATGTCTATTCAAAAATTGATCAAAAAATCCCAAAAACAACTCAAACCCTTCCCTTTTAAATTCCTTCGATGAATGATCAAGAGGTTTTTCCAGAAGGTCCATGTCAATCAAAGTAATGGTGACACTTACACCAATGTAAATAGAACTTTAATCAATGAATAGTCAATAGTCCCCAATTCATCTAATATTACATCATCATTATCATCATTAACAATGATACCCGAATTATAATAATACTCTCTACTTCTTTTCCCAAGACATCTTCCAAGATGGAGTTGAAGATTTTGAAAAGTTTGAAGTTCTCATTCATTCAATTCAAACTACCTTTGAAATACAAATAGATAATGAGTGATATTGACATAACATCATTCTTGAGTGAGTTGGATACACTCGAGAGTAAGGAGTCCAATGCAACTCCATCAGACAACACATTCTACTTTAGTTCAGCTCACAATGTCAGAGCATTGATCACAACTTCCACCACCTTGTTACCCGAGTTGTCATTACAACAATGTGTTAAAGGCACTCCCTTCAACATATCATCAAATGTACGTACATCACATCACTCATTCATTCAATCACTCAATCAAAGCATGTACCCTAACATCATAACATAGATACCCACTCAATCAGTCTTTGCTCAAGTACCAGACTTGTTTGATGAGCTTAGGGAACAGCATACAACACTTCGTCTGAATGAGGATGTGAAGAATGAGCAGAGAAGTTGGCCACGCTTCCTCGATACAAACTCTCTACCATTTCGCTCATTGATAGTAGTTGAGCAATCATCTCCAACTGCAGACATTGAGTTGGGCGTCGATCAAGTCAATCATCAACTGTCAATGACTGAATACAAGGAGGTGCCAATCAACAGTAGATTGAATGCATCCAATTCGACATCACTGTTGCGAGCTTGGAATGAGAAGGCGGCAGACTTTCACCGAGGTGATGCACAGGCTTTCCCATTCTTGCCTGGTGGCATTGAGGCCAAGCCATCCTCTGCCATTCACACACAGACCATTGGAGAGAAGATCGATTGGGTATCATTCTGGAGTGCTCCAGCCACTCTGCTCACCAAGGCACCAGGTCTATCACGAGGACTACCAACCATAGATGATCAATCAATGAGACAATCGACTGAGCACTCATACTTCGATCAAGAGGAGGAAGAAGAAGAGGAAGAGGAGATTGAGGAGGAAGATGATGAAGATGAGGAAGAGGATGTCGATGCGGAAGAGGAGGAGGAGGCAGCCGTTACAGTGGCACCCACTTTGACTACATCAAGCGACCTTAGCGAGGTCGAGAAGTTGATTGACACGACGACTCCAGCTACATCAGCGACACAGACAGAGGCCGCATCAGCGACAACTGCCGCCACATCTGGCGACCGCCCACCCGAGAAGAAGGTGTGGGCATTCAATGATACAAAGGAGATCACAACACCATTCGCCGAGCTCATAAGCAACCCAGCCATTGTATATCCATTCGAGTTGGACAGCTTCCAGAAGCAGGCCATCTATCACATGGAGAAGGGCGAGAGTGTGTTTATCAGTGCCCACACGTCTGCTGGAAAGACAGTAATTGCCGAGTACGCCATTGCCATGGCCGCCAAGAACATGACGCGTGCTATCTACACGTCGCCAATCAAGGCTCTGTCCAACCAGAAGTTCCGCGACTTCAAAAACACATTCAACAACGTCGGATTGATCACGGGAGATGTCTCGGTCAACCCGACCGCCTCGTGTCTCGTGCTCACCACCGAGATTCTGCGCTCGATGCTCTATAAGGGCGCCGACCTGATCCGTGACATTGAGTGGGTGATCTTTGACGAGGTCCACTACCTCAACGACTTGGAGCGTGGCGTCGTCTGGGAGGAGGTGATCATCATGCTGCCAGCACACATCAAGATCGTGCTGCTGTCGGCTACCGTGTCCAACCCGCTCGAGTTTGCCGACTGGATTGGCAGGACCAAGAAGATGCCCATCTATGTCATTGGCACGACCAAGCGTCCCGTGCCCCTCGAGCACTTTATCAACACTCCCTCCAACGAGATGTTCAAGATCGTCGACAGTTCGCGAAGATTCCTCATGGATGGCTACAACGCTGCGTACGCATCAATGAACAAAGAGTCTTCGTCATCTGGTGGACGTGGCGGACGTGGTGGCGCAGGTGCTCGCGGAGGACGTGGTGGAGGCGGCGGTGGCGGTGGTGGCAGGAGTGGCGGCGGCGGCAACAGCAACAAATCATCGAATTGGACGCGACTCATCACAACATTGAATGAGAAGAACCAGCTACCAGTGATCGTGTTCTCATTCAGCAAGGCCAAGTGTCAAGAGTATGCGTTTGGCTTGGGCGACAAGGTGGTGCTGACAAATAACACAGAGAGGAGCATCATCAAGGTATTCATTCAGGAGTCACTGTCGCGTCTGAGTGCAGACGACCGCGAGCTGCCACAGATCCTGCAAATCCGAGACTTCCTCGAGCGCGGCATTGGTGTGCACCATGGCGGCCTTCTGCCCATCGTCAAGGAGCTGGTCGAGATCCTCTTCTCCAAGTCGCTGGTCAAGGTGCTGTTTGCCACAGAGACCTTTGCCATGGGTGTGAACATGCCCGCCAAGACCGTGGTGTACAGCCATACACGCAAGCACGACGGCCTGAGCTTCCGTGAGCTTCTGCCCGGTGAGTACACCCAGATGTCTGGTCGTGCGGGTCGTCGTGGCCTGGACTCGGTGGGCACTGTGCTGCTGGCCTGCTGGAAGGAGCTGCCTGAGTCATCGACGCTCGAGTCCATGATCCTAGGCGTGCCATCCAAGTTGAACAGTCAGTTCCGTCTCACGTACAACATGATCCTGAACCTGCTGCGAGTGCAAGACTTCAAGGTGGAGGATATGATCAAGAGATCATTCTCTGAGTTCTCCTCGCAGAAGGACCTGCCCGAGATCCGCCAAGAGATTGAGAAGATCAAGAAGCAATACGACGAGGTGCCAGAGGTCGAGTGCATCCTGGGCGAGCCAGATATTGAGAACTACTATCAACTGTTCTGCGAAAGCAAGTCCAAGAACCAGGCAGTGCAGAAGGCCATCCTGTCGGTGCAGTCGGACAACCACTTCCAGGCGGGTCGAGTCGTCATCCTCTGTGAGAGCGATGACATGAAGTACCACAACTACACCATTGGTGTCATACTGCAGTGCAACACGACAAGTACCAAGAACTACATCAACACGACAGTGGCGCGATCATTCTCAATCTTTGCCTTGCGACTCAAGGGCGCTGATGAAGGCCGCAACGTCACATGCGACGGCCACTACATATATATTAGCGCCAATGGACTGGACATTAGGCGCGTGTGTCAAGAGCGCATCAAGATTGACGTGCGCGCCATCGAGACCGACGACAAGGCATCGTGCAGTGTCTTGGAACAGCAGTTGCTCCGTCTGCTTGAGCAGCACCCCCTTCCTCTGGGCCCACCCGCACTCGATCCCATCGGCAAGATGAAGCTCAAGAACGTGGAGTTTGTCGAGACGTACCGCGGCCTTGAGAAGATAGAGGAGCTAATCCCTCAGTCCAAGTGCCACAAGTGTCCCAAGCTGGCGGAACACTACAACCTTACCGAGCGTCGCACTCAGCTCAAGCAGCAGCTGTCACAACATACCTTCTCCACATCGGATGAGAATCTGCGTCTGATGCCCGAGTTCCAGACGCGCCTCAAGATCCTCCAGACCCTGGGCTACATCGACCAGGACAACAACGTTCTGGTCAAGGGCAAGGTGTCGCGAGAGATCAACACATGCGAGGAGCTGATCATCCCCGAGCTGATCTTTGAGAACGCCTTCCTCAACCTCGACCCGGCCGAGATCGTCGCCGTGCTCTCCACGCTGATCTTCCAGGAGAAGGATGCCAAGGAGCCGTCGCTCACGCCTCGTCTGCTCGAGGCCAAGCGCAACCTGCAGGAGCTGACCAACCGACTCACGCTCATCCAATTGGAGCACCATCTGGACGTGCCGTCGCAGGACGATGAGCGATCACGTCTGCTCAACTTTGGACTGATGGAGGTGTGCTATGAGTGGGCGCGAGGCATGCCCTTCCACGAGATCTGCCAGCTGACCAATGTGTTGGAGGGATCAATCGTGCGTGCCATCACAAGAATTGGAGAGACATGTCAAGAAGTCAGGAATTCAGCCAGGATCATTGGAGACACCAAACTATTCCAAAAGATGGAGGAGGCAGCCAAACTGATCAAACGTGATATCGTATTCGCTTCATCACTTTACATTGTTTGATGGGTCAACCAATCAATCAATAAATCGAGTCCCGCTCATTCACTCCATTGATTCATCAATCATTCAATCAATAACACTCATTCACCATTCAGTCAATAATTGCTGGGACTATCCCAGACAATGACAGTTGGCGCCAAAAATTTGATGTTCAATCAAACCCATAAATCAAATTGGGGGTCGACTTGAGGAAGACGAACGAATGAAAATTCCAAACAAATCACAATCATGTACAGTTGTGCCGTGAGCTAACAAATGAAGCAGGAGACACGATCTCCTTAACTTTGGTGAAACTGTTAGAGCATACATACCTCCTCCACAGGGGTGCGTCCGAATTAATGACACACGCCCTACTTTAGTTTGGTACACATTTCCCCTCTTTCCTTAATCCACAATACAAAAGACAAACAAACATATACAATATGCCTTGTATGATTATCATCACTCATCGTTGATTGAATGATCAACGATTACCATCAAGTCAATTCACGCACCAGACAACACACAAACAAGTTTGTTAAATTAACAAACTGAGTTCTCAAGTGGCATGGTGACACCAGTTTGTGAACCAAGACAACCAAAATGGGAACAATCAAAGAATACCAAGTAGAGACAACTTTTGATTGATTGGAGCCAAAAGACATTTAAGTCAGTTTCGAAACGTCAAGTACAACAACAAATATATATATAGATAAACAAACATACATATATACATATAATAAATATGAGCCCAAGAATCCGAGTATGAACCGGAGTCCGATCCCTCTGATGGTACATCCTCGCACCACTCCACTTTGTCAGACTCATCCAACGAAGATGAAGGAGAATATCCACATGATGATGATTCTCAAGACGATGATAGTTTGAGCTCTTTGTTGGAGAAGTTGAAAGTTGGTTCAACTAGGAACAACTCAAAATACCTAGAAGATCAAGGCATGGTCTATCTCTATCACTTTACTGATGAGAGAAACCTGGCATCCATTATGGAGAATGGACTGTACTCTTATAAGCAACTTAAAGATACTCCTGGTGTAATATTTGGAGGAAACGATCTCTCTCATAGCCTAGACAAGAAGCATCATCTTGAAGACTATGTCCGGTTGTCATTGGTACCAAACCATCCTATGATGTACATTGCAGTCAATGATGGGAGGATCAAGAAGGCATTTGTTATCCGGTTTTTATTGACTGCCGCCGACTTGAAAGGTGTCTTTGTTCACTGACAAGAATGCAGCATCAGATGGCTTCAAGGCTATGAAGACCCCAGACCATCTCAACTTTGATGCTCTACGAATGAAAGATCAGTTCCAAGTCAACAATGCTGGTATTGATAAGAGCTACTACCAAGCTGAGGTGCTCATCCCAACCCACCTTCCCGAGGAGTACATCGTTGACAGCTATGATTCTGGATACAGACCTACCAGTTCCACACGAGCTCGTAAGTCCTACTCTGGACCAACAACAACCAAGAAGTATTCATTCAGGGGTCGTAGTTCTACTCCATCATACTCTAATAAATATAATTAACCTCATTCTTTGTTGATTGATTGATGGAAAGACAAAAAATAGTGTTCACCTTCAAAGTCTGATTTCACTCGATTTGGACAAGGACGAGTCGTTTATTCATCACTCTAGAAAGTAGTAATACATACATACATACATACATATACATACATTCATTATGTTCCTAGCCTGTTCAAAGAGGTTGATGCCAATTGGCACCAGCAGTGCTAGGTTTTATGCTGCTCGTTCAAAGACCTCTCAAGCATCCACATCGACATCGACACCAACATCGACATCAACATCAACATCATCGACGAACGAGAGCAGTGAAACAACTTCAACATATGATCCTGTAACAGGACCTTTGGAGGCAATGTCTGTGCCACAGCTCAAACAGTTGTGTCGACAACTCTCAATTGAGACTCCACCCTATCGCAGGAAAGACGAGATCATCGCACAGATAGTTCAACATTGTCAATCACAACTCGAGCCACAACAACAACAACAACAACAACAACAA